TCAAGCCAGGACCCCTTTCCTGTCTTTAAGAAGAATGGCGCCATGAGTTGGATATTAGTTACCACAGGTTGGGTTATACTGCAATAACAGAGAACCACCAATAATCTCTGTGGCTTAAAATCACAAAGGTGTCTTGCTCACAGATTGGTTTTATGGACCTGCAGAGTTCCCAGGACAGCCATTCTCCGTAGGGGATGACTCAGAGAGGCAACTCCGCATCAGCATGAGTTTCCCCAACAGTCTGGCCAAGGAAGAGCCATCACATGCTCCACCTGGATATCAATGTGGTATAAACTTTGTGTCTGTTTATCCTCTAGAGTATGAACGCCTTCAGAAATAGAGCCATCCTTCTTATTTTCAGTGCTGTGTACCTCTTTATATGTTTATAATTCATTTACACCCACAATAATCTGTGCCAGGTTCTGGGCTGGGTGATGGGAACACAACTATTAACAGAAACAAGACTCAGCCTCTACCCTCAGTGAGCTCACAGTCTAGAGGGGGAAGCTAATGTTAAAACAAACAAACAAACAAACAAAAACTAATTCAATCCTATATAATAAGGGCCATCACGGAAATCCATGAAATCTGCTATAGGAGTGAGTTAACAAAAAAAAAAAAAAAAAAAAAAAATCTTCCCAGGAAATCTTGGAAGGATTTAATGAGAAAGTGATACTTGAGCTAGCTTTTAAAATATATTTTGCCAGGTAGAAGGAATGAGCAGGACAGAGTCAAGGGCAATAGCATGGATGTGGACATTAGAGGAAGTCTGGCGTATTCAGGGAAGGGAGAGCTTCATTCTGTGTGTTCCTGGGAAGTTGCGAATGAGATGGGGATGGTGAGGGTACAGAGGGCAAGGGGAGCAGGGGTACATTATGGGGCACCATGTATGTCTGACTAGGGAGTTTGGGTTTTATTTAGTGGGAAATGGGAGACTTTGTAGGTTCTGCAGGAGGGACGTGATGCCATCAAATATTAGAATCTCACCCTAGCTGCGGGAGAAGAATGTATTAACAGGTGAGCACCTGGAGCCATGGGACCAGTGAGAAGGTTTTTGAAGTTGACAGAGCCTCCCAAGTCTCTCTAAAAAGGGCCTTTGGTCTTGGTTGTGTAGCAAGAGGGTCCTCCTGATTTCTACAGATCAGGTAGATCTGTACATGATCTAGAGTTTGGCCACAGGATTCAATAGAAATCTCAACTTACCATCCAGAACTTTTCATGAGTAGCCACAGTGTGTTTTTCAGCTTCATTTTTCTTACAATTGAGTCAGGCTGAGCAGGGAAGGTGCTTGATAATCATACCTACCCTGAGGCACCCATTCCAAGCACATTGGAGAAACAGGATAGCCTGGCCTTTGATCAAAATCTGAAGATTTCTTCTAGATTGTTTCATTTCACTTATGTCATATATATCAGTCAAGGTTCTCCAGAGAAAGAAAGAAAACCAATAGTATCTTCTATCCATCTATTTATCTATTGGTCTATCTATCCACTCCTCCATCTATGTGTGTATGTATATACACACTTGTATATACACATATATGTGTATATGTATGCATGTATGTGTGTATGTATTTGTGTGTGTGTACACACACGTACATATCTCAATTGCTTCATGTAATTGTGAGGCTGGCATGTCTGAAATCCACAGGCTAGGCTGGCAAACTGGAAACTCAGGTAAGAATTGATGCTGCAATCTTGAGTCTGAATTCTGTCTTCTCCAGGAAACTTCAAGTTTTGCTCTTAACGCTTTCAACTGATTAAATGAGGCCCAGTTCTTTACTTAAGGACAAGTGATTGTAGATGTTAATCACCTCTTCAAAATACCTTCACAGCAACATCTAGATTAGTGTTTGCTCAAATAACTGAGTTGACACAAAAAACTAACCATCACGCAAAGTTTCCGCCATTTTTCAAAATCTGTGATTCGACTGAATTTAAGAAAATTTAGCCACATGAGGACAGTACTTTTCTCAGCTGCCATAAGCTCAATACATCTACCCAAATCAGTCACGCTCTTGTTTTTTTCCTTGTAATACTGACTTTAGTGTGCCCGGATGTCTTGTCACATCAATTAGGAAGCAAAAATGTATGAGTCATGGAGTATCCGGCAGAGTGAATTTTCAAGCCCCCCAAACAGGTTTTTATGACCCAGCCATCTGATTGCCCTAAAATAAACCCAATCGCCATGTTCCGCCTCACCTTTTCCCAAATGCCCCATGGCCTGTAGATGACTCAGGGCCCAAGAATGAAGAAAATAATCAGAATCTCAATCACTTCCTCTATCATATCTTCAGTAAGCCTGACTTACAAAACAGAAACTCCCCAGAAGAATAAGGCAGGGAGAGCTGAACCCAGCTACCTTCTTGGACATGAACAAACAATTATAATATTCTTTCCCTTTCATGGAAGTAACCCATCTGGGTCAAGGGGACTCAATTTTTCTGCATTTAGCTTGCATGTCTCAGATGCCATGTTGGCACATGGACAGTCCTGTTATTTGTTGTGTGGTAGCTAATTGTACAAGATCCTCAAATGCAAAATGAAAAAGACAGGCTGGGCATGGTGGCTCACGCCTGTAATCCCAGCACTTTGGGAGGTCAAGGCGGGTGGATCACCTGAGATCGGGTTTGAGACCAGCCTGATGAACATGGAGAAACTCTGTCTCTACTAAACATACAAAATTAGCCAGGTGTGGTGGCACATGCCTGTAATCCCAGCTACTCGGGAGGTTGAGGCAGGGGAATTGCTTGAACCTGGGAGGTAAAGGTTGCAGTTTGCTGAGATCGCACCATTGCACTCCAGCCTGGGCAACAAGAGTGAAGCTCCGTCTCAAAAAAAAAAGAAAAAGAAAAAGAAAAGAAAAGAAAAAAACAGCAAACAGCTAGTTCTAAGGAGAATATGGAGCAACCATCAAACACTGCTGGTAAGAATATAAACCAAGTACAACCATTTTGAAAACCTGTATATATACACGCACACACCCTAGGAGAGGAATTGCTAGTGAATAAAGTACTTATAACTTTGTAAGTAATACGTGTGTATGTATACACACATCCTAGAAGACCTATATATATGTGTGTGTGTATATATATGAGACCTGTAACACTGGGTGTATGTATGTGTTTATATATACAGGTGTATATAGGTATGTATATAGTTGGACACACACCTATATACATACTTATATACATAGCATTAGTCTGTTCTCATGCTGCTAATAAAGACATACCAGAGACTGGGTAATTTATAAAGGCAAGAGGTTTAGTTGACTCACAGTTCAGTATGGCTGGGGAGGCCTCAGGAAACTTACAATCGTGGTGGAAGGGGAAGCAAACTTGTCCCTCTTCACATGGTGGCAGCAAGGAGAAGTGCCAAGCAAAAGGTGGAAAAGGCCCTTATAAAATCATCAGATCTCATGAGAACTAACTCACTATCATAAGAACAGCAGCATGGGGGTAACCACCCCCATTATTCAATTACCTCCCACCAGGTCCCTCCCACGACACATGGGGATGATGGGAAATACAATTCAAGATGAGATTTGGGTGGGGACACAGCCAAACTATATCATACACCTATATACACACACATACACGCCACCCCCAGGAGAGGAATTGCTAGGGAATAAAGTGTTTAAAACTCTGTAAGTAATGTGTGTGTCTGTGTGTGTGTGTGTGTGTGTATAGAAAAGTCATGGCAAAAATCACAATTACTTTTACACCAACCTAATATATATGAGACTTATAATACTGTGTGTGTGTGTATATATATCTAGATGGATATAGGTATGTACATAAGATGGACACACACCTATATACCTACACATACACACATACACACCCATCTCTCTCTCTCTCCATATATATATATGTGTGTGTGTGTTTATATATATATATATGAATATGTATATATGGAGATACATGTATATATCAAACAGAAATGTGCACATGCTGAAATATTCATAGCAATGTTATTCATAATAGCCAAAAGCTGGAAACAACTCAAATGTCTATCAATAATAGAATGGATAAGTCAATATAGTCACACATTGGACTACAATGATGAGAATGAGAATCGGTAGCTACATGCAACATTAGGGAAGAATTTTATAAACATAATATTGAGCCAAAGAAGCTAGGCTCACACACACAAAAAAAGTACATATTGTGTGATTCCATCGATAGAAGATATAAAAACAGGCAGAACCAATCTATGGTAGAGGAAGTTGACACATGGTTACCATTGGAGGGAGCATAATGACTGGAAAGGGTCAACTGGGGGCTTCTGAGCCGATGGATTATATTTACTTATCTAACACTGCCTAATACATTACCCCCAAAACTTAGGGGCTTAAAACAATCATTTCATTATATCTCATGATTTTGCGGGTCAGAAATTTGGTCAGGACTCAGGTGGGTGATTCTTTCGCTCCATATGGTTTTGACAGGGGTCACTCAGTGGTCTTTAGCTGGCAAACGGGCTGCTTTGCAGGGTCCAAGAAAACTCTCCTAACCAATCTCCTGCTTTGGCAGGGATCACCAGAAGCCTGGGTTCTACTGGAACTGTCAACGGGAGTGCCTGTATGTGGCCTCTCCAACATGCAGTCTCAGAGTAGCTGGACCTCTTAGGTAGTAGTTCAGAGCTCCTGGAGTTTCCAAGAGACCCAGGGAGAAGTTGCAAGGTTTTTTATGATCTAGCCCTAGCACCATTTCCGCTTCATTCTATGGTCAAAGAAGTCATGAAAGCCAGTCCAAATTCAAGGGGGAAAGAGGAAGAATTCCACTTCTCCAAGAAAAGGGCATTAATATACTTGGAGGAAATGAACTGATGGCAGTCATCTTGGAGACAGGTAACCACAGGGAATGTTCTGCTTTTTGATTTGGGTGTTAATGATAGGCTCTATTCAGGTTGTGAACATTTATCAACCTATGTACTTATAGGTGCCCTTTTCTATGTGTATATACTTTTAATAAAATATTGAAATCTAGACAGACTTACCAAGGAGAATAACCTTTGGAACAGACAGATCCCATTTGGACTGGTCCTACCTCTGTGGCTGGATGAATACTCCTGCTTCACTGGAGTCCCATGGCCCCTCAGCCTCTCTGTGACCTTGGGTCACTTAGGTGTGAAGGTCAGGCCTGTTGCTCTGTCAGGGTCTCAGTTTCAAAGACAAAAGAAAACATGTATTTGGATTACTGTGAGGAAGAATGAGACAAATGAACAGAAAACTTCTGGCATATCCTAGAAGCTCAGTAAATGAGCTTCATTTCATTTCAAGCCCTGAGTGCTGCCTCAGACCCCTGACTCCTAGGCTGCCAAGGAAATCAGCAGCTAGAACCTTCTAGAAGTCCTCCCAGGAGTCCAAAGAGAGCTTGTCCTCCAGGCCTCCTTGCTCACCTTGTGAGCAGAGACGGGGGTACATTCTCAGGCACCTGTGCCCTGCACGGAGGGCCTGGGTCAGAAGCCGAGGAAAATAACTTCGCAGCTGCCAGGATCCATCCAAAGTCCCCAAGCGGAGTGACAAGTGAATCACCTCAACGAATGCTTAGTCACTGCAAGGTACTTTCCACACAGACACATGGAGATGGTTACCAAAGAAATGTCTGCTGGCTGCTCTCACATCAGCTCAAAGAAAATGTTGTTGTAACCTTTACTTTGGAGGCGGAAAAAATAGCATCACTTTCCCTTTTCCTTTCCTTTTCTTTTTTGGAGAGAGATTCGTTGGCAACATTGTTGGAGTGGTTGTTTTTGTTTACCCTGGAGAAAGTTTCCAGATAGCTCTGAATCCAGGGCTTTGTGTATGTGGCAGTCCCTTCAAGTCCTAAGCACTTAGTGTCTAAGTGTGTAAACAACCCCCTTAGAGGAGACTGTCACGGACCATCCAGATCACAGGGCCTCCCATCAAGCTCGCTGATTGCAAGCAGAGTCCTCCAAGCTTTTAAAAGTCAGAGATGGGAGGTTCAAATCCCTCTGCCCTGTATTAGCAGTGTAGCCTCAGGGCAAAGGATTCCAACTTCCTGAGCCCTCTACTTTTCTATTAATAACAATGAAGCTTCATTTTGTGTACCCACAAGGTGGTTGTGAGAATTAGATGAGGTGGTGTGCAGAAGCATCCCCAACAATGCTTGGCACTCTCATAGTAGTTGACTAGTTAAAGTAAGTGAATCTCTCCCTCTCTCGATTCTTCCTTTGTTATTTCTCTTGCTGCCTTTCTCTTTTTAAACTCTCTTCCTTCTCTTTCCTTCCTTGCCAAACTTAGTCAACCTTCATTCTCTCCTATTCTCTCCTTTCCTCTCTACTGCCTGCATGGGTTTTTGGTTTTTTTTTTTTTTTTCCTTCCTTTTTTGCCTTGTTTTCAAGCCTCAAACCCCCCTCTACACTCACAGCCATCTCTCTGGCTGGTACAGCTTTGGCATAAAGCTATTGAAAGCCAGCCAAATTCTGGTTAAAAACACTGCAATTCTTGGCCAGACTTTCTCTCCTTACAAATGAGGGTGATGTTTCAGGCATGGGAAGTCTTCCCATCCATTTAGGCCCCAGGGAAAAAAATAGCAACGCCTCAGTGTGTGGCCTTAGGTGGACGGCAAAGTGGGGCTCTGGGTATTGACAGAAATAAATCTGGTGTTTCTGAAAATTGTGAAACATGCGCAGTGAATGTGTCATCCCAGCAAAAGTGAGTCAGCTCCCAGGCCAGGGCCCAAATCTGGCTGCCTTTGCTTTCTAAATAGAAAGTGTATTCCTGGCCAGCCCAACCGAGCAAATCAGCGGTCAATGAGAGTGGAAAGACAGGCAGAAAAAGAGACATGCAAATGTATACTTTGCAAGAAGGTTACTGGAAAAATCAAATTCTCTCTCTGTGATTAAAAAAAAGAATCATTCATTTTCTTCTTTCCTTTCTATCCTGATATCAGCATCAAACTTTTCTTTGTCATCATTATTTTACCCCAAATTTCTGGAGTGGCCTTCAAAAATAGGAACACAGCAAAGGACAGCCTGGAGGAATTGACTGCTCTAAACTTTGGGGTGAGACAGATCTGAGTTCAAATTCTGACCCCACCTTCAACTAGCTCTGTATGTGTGTATGTGTGTGTGTTGGGTGGGGGGGTGTCCTTGGGAAAATTTCTAACCTCTCTGAAGATTTAGCATCACTTTAATCAAATGGGAGAAATCCAGTGGAGAGTAAAGTAGGTAAAATCAGCAGTGCCTAGTTTATGGCAGGTGTTTGTTGTCTCTGACTCACCTTTCTCTTTTTTAGGAAGGCAAGTGTCTGGAACTCTGATGCCTCTTCACTCCCTAGTTTTCTGTCCACATGGGGTTATCTCTTTTAGAGGCTGTGAGCACCCAGAATATGGGAGCAGCAGTTTTGCCTCTTCCGCTCCAGACACAGAATTTGGAGAAAAGAAGCAACACCAGGCTCAGGGCCTTCTGCGCCAGCATCATGGGCAGGCAGGGCTCCCCTGCATCCCTTGGCAAGCCCAGATGCTAGAATCATGTGGCCTCCACTCTGCCAGAGGAAGTGATGCAACTGCCCGTTGGCTTTGGGTCAGCCTAGAAGAAAGTGTCCTGTTACAGCGTGGGTGTGGCTGGCTTCAGGGCTCCAGTCGGGTGCCCTGTTCCAAACCCATGGCAGAGGGGCAAGCAGGAGATCCTGCCTTTGTGCATAGACTGCCTGCTGTTTACCCAGCTTTGTGCACCACTATCCAGGCCCTAAAAAGTGTCCAGCCAAGCAAGTCATCTCTGGCCCTTGGCCTCTCCCTTCCCTCTGCTCCAGCTCACAAATTGCCCTCACTATAAACACCTGTTTCCTTTCTCCCAGACCTTGTGGGGTCGAGCTAGTCTATTGACCTCATATGCATGGCAGGGATATAATTGAACTCAATTATAATAACTACATCCATTAGAAACCTATGTAATGTTCATTAAGCAGCCTAGGTAATATGCAATTAATGGCATTACCATATGAATTGTGCATTGGGTCACTAATATGCAGATTATATGTAATGTTCAGTGTATTTATTAATTACAGCACATGCCAGAAAAGCACAGCACTCCAAGCTTGCAGGTCTGTCCCAGTTAGAAACCCTTTTGATCTCATACAAATCCTTTTACAGAAGAGCCTTTTTGTGAATTGGAACATTTGCTTTTCGGCTCTTTACACAAAGATGACTATTGGAGAGAAAGGACTCTGAAAAGTTGGTTAGTGCTAGAGTTGGGTAAACTTGTGAAGCCTTCACTGGAGCTGCTGCTGGAGAAGAGCCATGACCTTCAGGGCAGAATTCAGGCTTCAGAGTTCTGACCCAGCCTTTGCCTATAATTTTTCTGCTGATCACTGCCACCTCCAATGGGATGTCTGTCATCTGGGAAATGGGCATAATGGACCTTGATGATGCCTATGTCACCAGCACATTACATAGATTCTCTCATGAGGGAGACTGACATGCTTTGGAAAGACATAGTGGTAATGGCATTAAGCATCATTTCCATGAAGCTCCCAATGGAAAATTTCTTCACTAAAAAAAGAACCTGCTCCAGTCCTCCCAGCCTGCCCTTCACCTGGGTAGGTTGCCCAGTAATGCTCAACCTTAATGAGAGGGCATCAGTGATGTCTGCCCTTTAAGTGGGGTTCTTTCATAGTTTCTCTTCAGAGTATATTACTGGCATTGCCAGGGTCCTGGAGTTACCATCTCTGTTTTAAAGAATTTGGAAACGGAGGCCCTGGTGGATGAAGAGAGTTGCCCAAGTTCATGTTAGAGAGTGTCCTTGACATGAAGGAGATGATAGAAGATAGACAGAGAGATGTGCAGCTCAAGTCCTTGTAACTGGCTTCTGACTCTGCACTCAACCTTCACCTCCTCAGCTGACACGAACAAATTTCTGAACACTCTCACCCATCTCGTTCTTCTTCCCATCCGTTGTTGCCTATCAGGAAAGCCCTGGTCATCCGACCTCCAAACCATCTGGCATTCCACACTCTGCTCTCCGTACAACATTCATTTGAGCATTTGATGAATACCAACTCAAGACTGGGCACTGTGCTACACATGGGCTAAAAACATGAGGAACTTATGGCCCTGCTTTCAAAGAGCTCAGTGACAGTCTTGGTTCAGGCCTTGACCCCCTGTTCCTGAACTATGGATGGCCTAATAGGTCCTTTTCCTTGAATTGTACCTTCTTCCAATCCAACCTTCTTATAGCCACTGGAATGGGCCTTCTAAAATCCAATGGCCTGCTTAAATCTTTTCAGGAACGCTCAATGCTTACAAAATAAAGTTGAAGCCCTTCACTTAGCATTCAAGGCCCATCAGGATGTGCCTTTGTTTCTTGGGTTTCCTCTTCTCTACCATCACCATATGCAGCAAGAACACTGGATTTCCCACCTGTAAATCCTTCCCATACCTGCAGTGTGAGTTGTGGCTCCTTATATTAAGAAGTGGAGCTTATTTCTCTGCCCCTTGAATCTCAGTAGGCCATGAAACTGTCTTTGACCAATGGGACCATTAGCAAATGTGAAGCAAGCCAAAGTTTGAAAGCCCTTTTTTCCTGCCAGCCCCTCCAGAACACTATGTCTATGAGCCTTAGCTAGACGCCTTGAGGATAAGGCCCATGTGGAAAGAGATCTCAGCTGAGGCCCCAGACATGTGGGTAACACCATCCCAGACCTTCCAGCAAAAACTAAGCTCACTTAGACCAGGAGAATCACTCAGTCAACCCAAAAAATCATTCTAAAAAATGATAAATATTGGTTAAGTCACTAAGCTTTGAGTTGGTTTGTTATACAGCGAAAGCTAACTTACACAAACTCACATTGTGCATGCTCTTTTGTGCTACTTTGCTCTAGCCCATACTGTTCCCTTCAATTGGTGTGCAGTTCATCCCACTCCTGTGCCTGAACACACTTCTGTTCTGCTCACTGAACGATAGGCAGAAAAAGGGAGCAAAATCCCTATAGAAAGAAGAGCATAAAGCAAAGTTTGCATTGGCTGTGCATGCTGCTCTCAATATTCTTAGCCTATCTTACAATCATCCTTCTGGGTGGGCATACATCCTTCTCTTTCTCATGAAAAACTGGCCATCTCAGAGCATGGGCTAAAACTCAACTACTACCAACGCTGTGCCTGCACCTGACTCATCACCCTCAAAGCCCTCCTCGTCCTCCTTTCTCATTCCCTCATTTTCCTCACTAGCCTGGGAGAGCACTTTGCCCAGCATGGTGCTTGGCTCATCACTAAGCTTCTTGAAAGCACTCACATCATCATCACTTCCTCCATGAAGCCTTCAACAACATCCCAGGCTAAGTTGTTCTGTGTTTCCACCCAGTACTCCCACATCCTGTTTTACTTACCTTGTAAGGAAAATCTGTTTACCTATCTATCTTCCACAACTCTTCATTCCCAGCACACAAACACTGCCAGTCACCAGCAGGCCTTCTTTATCTTTGTGTCTCCATGCAGTAGAATCAAAGAAAGAATTGGTTGGATTAACTAATCCACCACCGAGGGTGCACAAGGAAGCCATGGAGAATTAAAAACAAGCAGCTTACAGTCAGACAGCTCTGAATGTAACCCCTGTTTTTACATTTTCAGGTCGAAAGTGACTTAAACCTTTAGATTTTCAATCACCTCATGTGTGAGTGATGTCAATTAAGGAAAGTGACCGAGACAAGTCTCAGTCATTTTAGGAGGTTTATTTGCCTAAGTTAAGGATACCCAGCCCGAGCGCAGTGGCTCATGCCTGTAATCCCAGCACTTTGGGGGGCTGAGGTGGGCAGATCACCTGAGGTCAGGAGTTTGAAGCCAGCCAGGTCAAAGTGGCGAAACCCCGTTTCTACTAAAACTACAAAAATTAGCTGGGCATGGTGGTGGATGCCTGTAATCCCAGCTAGTTGGGAGGCTGAGGCAGGAGAATCACTACAACCAGGGAGGCAGAGATTGCAGTGAGCCAAGATCATGCCACTGCACTCCAGCCTGGGTGACAGAGCAAGGTTCCATCTCAAAAAAAAAAAAAAGATACCCAAGAGATAAGTCTATGCCTTTCTCCAAAGATGATTTCAATATTTAAAGAAGAAAGGGTGGGAAATTGAGAAATACACAATTTTCATGCGAGAGGCGAGGAGGGGAAAACAGTTATTCAGGCCTTAGTCTGGCTCAGTGAATCTGCACTTTTGTATAAGAAAACATAGACAATAGGGCAGAGGAAACAATCAGATATGCATTGGTTTCAGGTGGGTAGAGGATGGCTTTCAGTTCTGTCCTGTGTCGCCACACCTGTGAAGATGGCGTATCCATGTATTAATAAATTGCCATGGTGAGCTTTAACAGAAACGCTTTAGGGTAAAGATCTTGGGGTCCACAGAGAATTTCCTTGAGGGCAAAACTTGAAGGAGGTATGTAGCTTTTCGTCTTTGTACCCATTTTATTCAGGACAAAACTAGGAGGCAGGTTTGCATGACCCAGTTCCCAGCTTAACTTCTGCCTTCGGCTGGGTGAGTTTGGGGTGCCAAGATTTATTTTCCTTTCATGGTGAGCACTTTCTAAAGGATCATTGACCCTTGAACAACATAGGTGTTAGAGGCACCAGTCAAAAATCTGTGTATAACTTTTGACTCCTCAAAAATGTAACTACTAATACCCCACTGTTGACCAGAAGCCTTACCAATAACATAAACAGCCAATTAATACATATTTTGTATTTTATATTTATTAAATACTATATTCTTGCAATAAAACAAGCAAGAGAAAAGAAAACATTATTAAGGAAATCATAAGGAAAATAAAATATATTGACTATTGACTGAGTGCAAGTAGAGCATCTCACAGGTCTTCATCCTTATTATCTTCACATTGAGTAGGCTGAGGAGGGAGGAGGAAGAGGAGGGGTTAGTCTTGCTGTCTCTTGGTGGCAGAGACAGAAGAAAATTCACATATAAGTGTGGGCAGAAGGATGTGTGCAACTCAAACCCATGTGGTTCAAAGGTCAACTGTAATCCTTTCCTCACGAGATAGTTTTGAGGATTCATGAGATGGTTTTGAAGACTCATGAGAGATAATAAGTAAAACTCCCCACTCAAAAGCTCGCACATGGGAGAGATTCAAACTAAGTTCCAGTCATCTTCTCCCTTCTCTCCAACTACCCACAAGTTCTCCCACTCCCTTTAATTTTTGGTTCCACCCCTGGCTGTTTCCCTGGACCTCAGGGATGTCTTTCCCATACCATGTGGGTGTCCTGAGCTGGGAAGAAATGGAACATCCCGTCTGCTCAGCACCCTCTTGGAGCCTGGAGTTTATACACTTCATCTTAGCTTCTTTCTCCTTTATAAAGAGAAATAAGATGAGGCCTGCTGGTGTGGTTTATGAATTGTAACTCAGGATGCAAATTTCCACTGTTACCTTTCCAAGATGAAACAAAGACTTTCAGCTCTCACCTCTCCTCTCCTGACTTCACTCTCCTGGAGTCTATAGTTGCAGATGGCAAAAGTCTCTGGCCTGGTTTGGTATTAGAAATGATGTTAAAAGAGGAGGGCTACTCCATCCTCATTCATTCATCCCATTCATTCATTTACTCTCACATGCACACTCATTGATTGATTCATTCATTTATGTGTTCTCTACATAAGCATGGAGCATGTGTTTTCTGTGCCAGGCTCTGTGCTGGGAGCAGAATGAAGCAGCAAATATGACTCAGTTGGTCTCTTTCCTTGAGGAGTTGAGTCCTCTGTTGACTTCTCTGCTATGCATGTGTATGAGAAGAGATGCAGGTCATCACAATGTGCAGTGTTTCTTATGCGCCCACAGTGGGGCACAAAGGTAGAATCACCTTTTGCAAGAAGCTGGAGTGTGGGCATGAAGTGTGGTCAACAGGGGCGAGTGCAGAAAGGACTTTGGATTGTGGTAATTGTGAAGGGCAATCCAAGGAGCTCTGTTTTTTACCCCGGGCAAAGAGGAGCCACTGAAACCTTTAAAACAAGAAATAAATGGGAGCGCTCATCTAGTTACTTCTTCAACTGCAGCTTGATCTGCTTCCCAACAGCTATTCCCCAAGAAAGTAGGAATCAGAGCAATTCTACAAAGCATTCCTTTGTATGTCTTGAGCAAATTACTTTATTGTTTTGAATCTCAAAATAAGAAATACCAGAATTATTGACTTTCCTCACTGAATGGTTGAGCCTTTAAAATGGTTTTAGCTAAGCAGTTAAGTGTGTAGTCTCAGAGGTCAAACTTGGTTTGCCAACTCTGTTATTCTGGAACCAGTCAATTCAACTATTTAAATCCCCAGTTTTTCC